AAATAGGTATGCATACCCTCCAATAATTTGGCTGACAATTCCGAGCAAGCCAATTTGAATGAAGAGCTTGAGAAGCATTGGTAGATAAATCTTCATTGATAAACCCCATACTTTCAGCAAATTTGGTGGCTAGAGATTGAAAAAAAAAGGAAAGTATAAATTATTCAAGTATTGTCTTTACAACAAAAATAGATGTACTAGAGGCATTCTGGGTCAGCAGCATCTTAAGTGAGCTGCACAAAGACTTTCTTTCTTTCTTTTTCTTTTTTTGAGACAGTCTTGCTCTGTCACCGAGGCTAGAATGCAGTGAGTGGCGTGATCTCGGCTCAGGGAATCCTCCGTCTCCTGGTTCAAGAGATTCTCCTGTCTCAGCCTCCTGAGTAGCTGCGACTACAGGTGTGTGCCACCATGCCTGGCTAATTTTTTGTATTTTTGGTAGAGACAGGGTTTCACTGTGTAAGCCAGGATAGTCTCAATCGCCTGACCTTGTGATCTGCCCACCTCAGCCTCCCAAAGGGCTGGGATTACAGGGGTAAGCCACCGCTCTTGGCCAACATAAAGACTTTCAAAGGAGTATTTATACATGAACATTTTAAGGGGCTCTATTTTTAGACCTTCAATTTCCTTACATTCTTCCTAAAACTGATCTACTTAAAACCCTTGGGCTGTGCGTTATGACAGTTCTCTTCCCACCTCAGCTCCACAATTTTCCTTCTACTTCACAAAAGAAAAGGCACACTTCTCACCAATCCTGAGTCTTAGAATTGCACTGAAACTAGACCTGCAATGCCCCGGGTATAAAACAAACTTTGAGACACCAGAGGAACCACTGAATTCCAATGAATGGGTAACAGATCCTTTTACTTGTCAAGTAGTTTCTAATTCTGTAGATGCTACAAAATTGAGGGAAGCCAACTGGAGTTGTTAGATAATACCTCATTAACAATAAATTTTGACTACAGGTTTCTGGTCTGTAATTAGGAAGGTGTTCAAATAACACACACCGCCAGAGCAAAACTTCCATTCCCTTCTTCTTAGAGATGAAGAAGTAAAGAGATTCAGAAGTAACTTATCCAGTTAAATAGACGTCAAGTAAAACAGCTGGAATTGGAACTTAGGTCTGTTTTTATACTACTTTTCAGTGAAAACTATAGTCGAAAGACTAGAAAAAATTTCAGTGTAATTAAAAAATACCTGACTCTCCTACTAAAAGTGTGTGTGTTGTATGTTCCAGTATTTTCCGTGCCACACCAATAGCATTTTTAATTCGTCTAAGATCTCCTACTGCTCCTACATCCATAGTAGTCCTACAAGAAAAAAGAATGCAGTTAAGAATTAAGGAGTTTTCAGCAGTTCATAGACTAAAAACATTGCTTTTCTCCAATCAATTGTGTTTTGTAGTTAAACTCTGCCATTTTAACACAGAAGTGACAACACATCCATGAAGTTCATCTAGATTCCCATAGTCAGGCCACATTAAAGAAAAAATAGAAAATCAATTTGCCATATACCAAGACGGCACGAAAATTCTCAGTTTCTCCAAGCTAATTTTAAATATGGCTTTTGAAAGGGGCCTGAAGGCTTCCGGTCAGGCAAACCACAGCATTTGTGGACAGCAGGTAAATGACTGTTTATAAGGTTAGAGACATGGTTTTGTAGCTTGGTATTCTCCCAGTTCTAAGGAGAATACCTATCTCTCCATGTGATATTCCTACTACTATAATTTTTTTTTTTTTAGTTGAGAGGGAAACTGTGTTAAGAAAGGTCAAGTTTAATAAGCTAGGGTTTTTTTGTTTTGTTTTGTTTTTTTTTTTTTTGGACGGAGTCTTGCTCTGTCACCAGGCTGGAGTACAGTGGCATGCTCTCACCTCACTGCAAACTCCGTCTCCTGGGTTCAAGCAACTTTTGTGTCTAAGCCTCCTGAGTAGTTGAGATTACAGGTGCATGTCACCATGCCCAGCTAATTTTTGTATTTTTAGTAAACACGGGGTTTCACCATGTTGGCCAGGATAGTCTCAATCTCTTGACCTCATGATCCACCCACCTCAGCCTCCCAAAGTGCTGGGATTATAGGCGTGAACTACCACACCTGGCCATAAGCTAGGGGTTTTGACCTGTGACAAAACTCATGCATTCTTCCATCTTGCTCTCAGTAGAAGACCACAACTCTAAATGTAACTCAACATGAAGTGAAAATGTAGAAATAAATAGGACCTAAATGGTATTCTTACCCATCCATGATCATGGCATCTAGTGTGGTTTCTCCAAGTTCATCAGGACTTCCTCCAAAGCCTACAGTGCCGTCACACTGCTCTCTCTCACACATGGCACAGCCGTTCTCCACGGCATCCAGGGCAGAGCCTCCAGATGCTAATGCCCTCCACGCTGTTAATCAAATCCCAATACTGCTAATTTATATTTATATATATATTTTTTAACACCAAATGCAACAAACCAACTCTGATTTTTAACAACTTTTTCACACTGACTCTGAGTTAAAGTCACTTTTTAACACATTAGTTTATCAAGTGCTACAAAGGAGTCAGAGTCATAAGAGTCGAAATTATTTAACTAGTTATCATGAAGAGCTCTGTGTGGGCAGAAAAGAAATTAGTATCCTCTCTTTTATTTTAAAAGGTACAATTGAAACTACTAAGAGGCAATTAAATAAAAAATCCACTAAACCACAGCCTTCTTCACACATTTCTTCTGCATCATTAGGTTATTAAAATATGCATAATTATTGGGGCCAAGGCAGGTGGATTATGAGGTCAGGAGTTGGAGACCAGCCTGACCAACATGGTGAAACCCCATCTCTATTAAAAATACAAAAATTAGCCAGGTATGATGGCACACGCCTGTAATCCCAGTTACTCAGGAGGCTGAGGCATGAAAAACGCTTGAACCTGGGTGGCAGAAGTTGCAATAAGCCAAGATTTCACCACTGCACTCCAGCCTGGCGACAGGGTGAGACACCATCTCAAATAAATAAATAAATAAATAAAAGCATAATTAATAGGTGTATTGAGGTAACACCTATCTCAGTTAAGTCTTAATAATACTGAACAGCAAACAATTACAACGTGGACTTCATGTGGATTAGTTAATTGAATCTTCATAATAGCTTCTGTGGTAGGTACTGTACAATCACGGCTCTCATTTTAAAGAAAACAAAACAAAGCAAGAAGGGTCAGGCAGTTAGTTTAGGGTCACACTGCTGGTAAGCAGCAGAGCCAGGATCCCATACATTTGGGGGTGTGGGGGAAGGGTCTTCGATGGCCAATTTCTTTTCCGCTAACAACAGAATTCTTTGAAGAGCAGGGTGCTGGTACACACTTTAAGCATCATTACTGCACCCACACGCTGGAAAGTCTATTTATGCCAAGTTCCCTCTTTCAATACAGGCAACGTACACAGAGGTGTCCCCACCCAGGCTGATGCATTTTCTTTTCGTCTCATTATCGCTGGGGATATCTTTCTCACAGCCGGTTTCTTCATTTTCTCTGAATCGTATGCACTGCCTATAACACAGAAATTTAGCTCCACAAAATTCTGGAGCCAATTCTATCCCGTAAAGCTAATATGTTAGCTACCTCAGATGGGGGAGGAGGGGTCCGAAAATGGCTGTTCTGGTCATTAAGCAAATGAAAGAAGCATAGTACAATGCGAAAATGCCGAGAAAACGTACAGGCCACTAACAAGGCGCAGAAGATAGTGCCCTAACTCATCTGGGCACGAGATAGTCAAGAACATTTCCTGGAAGAGGTGATACCTTAGCTTAGTGGTTCTCAACCCTGTCTGCAAATTGAAATCATCTAGGGAGCTTTTTTTTTTTTTCTTTTTAAAATGCCCTAGTTCCAGCAGTTAGATCACAATCACGAGGTGGGCCGGGCCAGGATGATTTTTGAGACGCTCCGCAGACAGTACAGCAAAGGTTGGAACCTCGAATTCTAGGTAGCAAGTAAACACGACAACACGTGGCTAAAAAAAAAAAAAAAGTAAACGGCAAAAAACACTATGAAGACTATGCTATGGCTGGGACACTATTAGTCGTCTACAAAACTGCAGAGAAGTGAGGGATTAGAACGCGAGGTGGAGACGTTGACAGCCCGTGAAAAGACTGGGAGTCAGGCCAAAAAGCGTAGGTGCTACTTCAGTAAAGAAACAATTATTGTAGGCCGGGCGCGGTGGCTCAAGCCTGTAATCCCAGCACTTTGGGAGGCCGAGGCGGGTGGATCACGAGGTCAAGAGATCGAGACCATCCTGGTCAACATGGTGAAACCCCGTCTCTACTAAAAATACAAAAAATTAGCTGGGCATGGTGGTGCGTGCCTGTAATCCCAGCTACTCAGGAGGCTGAGGCAGGAGAATTGCCTGAACCCAGGAGGCGGAGGTTGCGGTGAGCCGAGATCGCGCCATTGCACTCCAGCCTGGGTAACATGAGTGAAACTCCGTCTCAAAAAAAAAAAAAAGAAAGCACCAATACCCTAACTATGGTCAGCAGCAGGGTGGAGACATTGCACTGGGGGCTGCATAACGGGAGGATGGAAAATGCAGTCGTGGTGGGTAAGGAGGACGCAGTAAAGGCCACTGGCAACTGACTGCGCGGCGCGGGAGATGCAGGAAGACTCCGGGTCCCGCCCAGCCCGGCGCTCGCCCGCCCTCCCCGCCCAGTGACCGCAGGGCGGCGGGCTGGTCCTCCCCGCCCGCAAGCTCTCGCGGCGCAGCCACCCGCCAGGCCGCCAACCCGCACCTGCTTCGGTTGCACTCTTAAAAGGCCAAGTGTTGAGGACCAAGGGCAGAGGGCTGGCGCCGCGCACTACGGCCTGGCTGAGCAGAAGCGGCGCGAGAAGCTGAAGCAAAGTCGACTTCCCCGCCATCGCTGAGCGCTGAGGGCAGCAGCGCGAGAAAGGTCCCAGCTGCCAGCGATCCCGGAACTCGTAATTCCCAGCGTCCCGCCCGCCTGGCGGCCACGCCCACTTTCTCGGGGACGCGCCCACGCCTCCCTCAACTCTCGCGAGGCGTGGCGAGGCGTGGCGTCCCAGGGCCCGCGGAAGAGTTGTGTCCTGCCGGTGCTGAGCTGTTCCCTGCTCTAAGGTGCTTCTTCCTAAGTGCTGTGCAGATTTTTAAAATAGCCAAACAAAGTGTGGCTTTTCCTGTTGTTAACATAGATTTAGCTTGATATTGAGAAGTTAATACAAAATTATTCAACTCTAGGTTGCGGGACCCCAGGAACTTGAGCTGATTGCTGTGTGATATATATTTGGTTCTTACAGTCTTTTGAATTTAAAGTTGAAGTTGAAAAGTTTGTGAAACTCAGTATATTCTTGGGGATCCCAGGCCTCGGAGCTCTGCAGTAGTTACTGAGTCTGGGTGAAGTGTATTTGCTTAGTACCGCATTAGTTTTAGATTTTATTTCTATCCATAGCTTCCGTCATTTTCGCACCACAGCTTTTTGCAGCACTTCCTCTCATTATAAATCCCTGAGCTGGAAGAAAAAGAGAAACAGCCTGTGTACCCTCTGCCTAGCAGACTGATGCACCTTCCTGCACCTCCAGGGCAAGAAGGCTACCTCCATTCTTTTTTGAATGTATTTTTACCTTCCTGCCTGGCACTATTAAGTGCCAAACAAATGGATAAAAGGAGGAATGGGGACTTTATGTGCCTGGTGGAGGCTGTTCAGTTTTGTTGCTGGGCAAATGTGCAAGCATGAACTAGTAATCCCTGTGGGAGTCTGGAAGGCCTGCTCATGTTGCCAAGGCACGACACATAACCAAATAATTTTTTAAATCATCTATAAATCTATGCAACTTAAAAAATATGAACTAGGCAGGAGTTGTGAGGCTTACAAAACCTTCAAGGCTCTTACCATTGCTAGGAAATGAAATACATAATTTAAAGACATAAGATAGCCCAGAAGTATAGTTATTCCCAAGTTGGGGAAGTGTTATTTAAAAGGTACAGTTTAAAGAGAAATTTTATAAGTTCCTTCCATGGGGTTTGGAAGAGGAACAATTCATCTCTGCTGGAGTAATCAGCATAACCCAATCAGGTGAAATTGGAAACTTGGTGATAACAGGGTAAGAAAGCAAGAAAAACATACACTGTCCTCTGAATAAGTTTTCCTTAGCACTTGGGTTGAGTATTTTTATTCAGCCTTAAGGAACTAGGACATGCCTTTAGCAAAAATTGTAACATACAATATATGGAAAATTGGTCTCAGCACCCACTGATCTCTCCAGCATCTTCCTACTTTTAAGGTATTTGTGTTTCTTCTGGTTGAAAGAGCCTGCTCTGTTACCTCCTACTATCTTTATTCCTCCAGAATTCTTTCTTCTTAAATAAAAATTTCTATTAAAGAAACAGCTGAATTATACTATAGTGGGACTATCTGATAGAAGGTCTCAATATATTAACTTTTCCATGGATATTTGTATGTGTGTATGTATGTATGTATTTATTTATTTTGAGACGAGTCTTGCTGTGTCACCCAGGCTGGAGTTTAGTGGTGTGATCTTGGCTTACTGCAACTTCCACCTCCCAGGTTCAAGGGATTCTCCTGCCTCAGCCTCCTGAGTAGCTGGGACTGCCTCCCACCAAGCCTGGCTAATTTTTATGTTTTTAGTAGAGACAGGTTTTACCATTTTCACCAGGTTGGTCTTGAACTCCTGACCTGAGGTGCTCCAGCTGCCTCGACCTCCCAAAATGCTGGGATTACGGGTGTGAGCCACAGCACCTGGCCAGATGTTTGTATTTAAATAATTAATACGCAATCCCTAAAGAATCTACCCTATTCAGTGTCTTCTTAATGGCTACTAAAATACCCACTGGGTCCACTGTCCAGTTTGTCCAAACTAATTGTCATTTCTGTAGCTATTTCTTAAATAAGTTAAATTTGCCTGGATATTTGGGTTCCTTCTGGACTAATTTTCCTTTGATTAACACTTGAAGAATAATTTTCATTTTAGTCCTAGAAGTAACCTTCTGTTACTCTCACTTAGGTGTTAAATTGGGCCTAAATATAATTAGATCCTTTGCCTTTATCTTGAGGTAAATGTAAATGAAAAGGGACACCTGTTCGTAGGTAGTGATGGGGAAGGAAAGTACTGGGAAGGGAAGGAAAGGGCATGGTCCCTTTAAATGATACGGAAGGGAGAAGCGATATGCTGGGTAGAGGAGGGCATGGTTCCCGGCTAGGGCTCCACCCTGGGGCTCAACTTAGGTGAAGACAGGGATTTTTGTTTTCCAGCCCAAATGTTACATTTCCCAAGACAACCCTGGCCTGCAATGCCCCCATCCTGTGCCTATTAAAACCCCAAGACCGTAGCAGGCAGACACACAGGCAGCCGAACGTTGAGAGGAGCGCATCAGCAGAGGAATACCCAAGTGGCTGGATGTTGAGAGGAATGCATTGGCACAGGAGCACAGCGGCATGCTGGCAGGCCATTGACCCGTGGAAGGATGTGGAGTTTGGCCAGGGTGGTCAGTGAAGAGGCAGGCCACCCACAGACCTGACTCTAGGAGAAAACCATCTCCCTTCTGGCTCCCCCATCTGCTGAGAGCTACTTCCACTCAATATACTTTGTACTCATTCTCCAAGCTCACGTGTGATCCCATTCTTCCAGTACAGCAAGGCAAGAACCCAGGATAAAGACAGCCCTCTGTCCTTGTCATAAGGCAGGGCTCTAACTGACCTGGCTAACACAAGCCACCTACAGAGGGTAAACTAAAAGAGGCCCCTGTAATACAGATGCACTGGTGCTTCAGCTGTAAACATTCACCCCTAGACATTGCTGCAGGGTCAGAGCCCACAGCCCGCCCATCTGTATACTCCCCTAGAGGTTTGAGCAGCTGGGTACTGAAGAAGGGAGCCACTCCCCCGTCACACACCCTGTGAGGGGGACAAGGGAGCCTTTCTGGTTTCAGTAGTAGACCATGAAATAAATGGCCCTCAGTTTTTCCAGCATCCTCTCCAACTTTTAATTCTTTTAAATCATTATACATAAGGGCAGAGATATTTAGTGTTATTGATAAATCAAAAGAACGATTTGTAAAATTCTTTACATTTAGAATGCATTACACAATTTTGTTTGGCAAAATGTTTCTGTTACTAAATAGAGCTTACTTATAACTAACAACACTAGGAGGATTTTCAAGACTTAGATTTTAAAACTCAGGGTGTGGCCATGCCCGGTGACTCACATCTGTAATTCCAGCACTTTGGGAGGCTGATGTGGGTGAATGGCTTGAGCAAGGAATTCGAGACCAGTCTGGGCAACATAGCGAGATTCCTGTCTCAATAACAGTAATAATCATCATCGTAATAAAACCACATATCAGCTGTAGTTAACTCATGTAATCTTCCTAAGCCACACTTTGCTCATCTATAAAATGGAGATAATAATAGTGTTCTTATTTTACAAAGCTTTGTGAATGAGGTAGGAGATGTGGGAGAATGTTAGAATGCTAGGCAAATTAAATTAAATTCTCTTATTTTAATTGGCCATTCCCAAGTATCTATAATTGCTGTCAAGGAGGCAGTCCAGAAACATACAAGGCGGCGAAAAGAAATTAGAGATACAGAAATTTCCACAGGAAGAATAAAGAGTTGGCCCAATACCTACAATGCATTTTAAAGTAATCACTTAAAATTTTCCTGAATATATTAAATGAGAATAAAAATAATGTTTTTAGTCTCCTTTGAGCTGCCTAAAATTTGGTTTAAATACTTATAAAGACAGTACATTACAGGGTTGTGAGATTTCTGGATGTCTTAAAAACAGCACTCTTAAATCTTAACAAAGAGAAAGCCTCAAATGGAACCTTAAATGATGTTACAAATAGAGCCTTTGTGTGTGTGTGTGTGTGTGTGTGTGTGTTGGAGGTGGATGGGGGAGTTTCAGACAGCTGCAGGGTCTCTATTTCCTCTAAACTTCCTGGCTTTCAATTTATCAATCTCAGAAGGATGAAGAGTTGAGTCCCTCCTGATAGCATTTGAAGCTGTAGTTCCACAGAGGATTTAATGCTGTAGTTGCAGGGAGTCTAGGTATTTCAATTCTGAGGCTTAAAAAACTAAGCCATCCCCTCCGGCTTTTGCACTGATGCTGTGAAATCCATTTGAGAAACATGTCCATGTTTTGCTGCTTGTTCAAAGCTGTAAGCGTGACTTGGCATTGAAATAATAATTTCTTTTTCAAAACTCCCCACTGAACTATTACCTAGGTTATCTAAATACAGGCTATTTACTTGATTGGCATTTGCTCTTGTCAGTTTCACAAACTGTAAGTAATGATTTTTCTGATGTTAGAGCACTGTGGTACTGTGTTTCTAATTTAAATCAATGTCTACATTAATCTGGGAACACTTGATGTTACTACCTGATTGTATATTCTGGATGTAATTAGACTCATTATACAGAAATAAGTGTCATCTTCTTATTCTCTAAATAAGAAAAGAGCATTCTTTTCTGAAATAATTTTTCTGGGTCATGCCCCCAAAACCGTTTGTCAAATCAATAGTAGATTCTAATCACAAACTTTTTTGACTTTTTAACCTTTGAAAGTCATCTTAGTGACTTATAAAGACCAAGATTGTGCAGTAGAATGTGGGCCTATTATTTCTTATCAAAATAAATTATGTACAACATACTTTCAATGTATAATTATAATACTGGGCCACTGCTGCGATATAGTTTTCATAACAAAGCCACAAAGCCATAGTAGACTATTCAACATGGTGGATCTTCCTTTTTATGACAGTTGTTTGTAACATGATGTCTTCATAAATGTGATCCATGACAACATTAAAGCCTTAGGGCCACAGAATAGATGTCAGGATGTCTTCCTACCACTTTAAGAATCACTTTGACATTGTTAAGGTAGTGTGACAGATGATTTTGGTAAACAAATTCAACAATAAAAGCAAACATCTAAACCAACAGTGACTTATAGGAAGTACATTATGCATTTGAAATGCTATCCACTTGTTGATAATCATCATGTGTATTAGAAAACTATCCAAATAATGAACATATGTATCCTGTGTGTAACTACACAAAGTCTGTTATTTCTCAATTATTCATATAAAGATTTGAAAAG